ATGCATTTGGTGTTGACTTCGTGGTGGATCAGCTCCCCAGTGAAAATCTTTGTGTTCCAGCGTGGCATTCTCGGACAGTGACCCGCCATGATCAAGCTTACTTTGACATGCAAATCACGGAGATGAGTTTGGTTGCATGCTGGGCGGGCATTGGTGAGGGCGCCACAATGATGATGCCTATCTTCGACAGTGATGGCGAGGTCATTGCGAGTGAAGCCAACCCAGACACGATTGATCTCCAGGTCCTGACCAAAGAAGAATCTCAAGCTGCGGAGTATGCGCCTTGCCATGGAATGGAATGTGTTCAAGCAATTTGGACATGCTATCATGTTAGCCATGGGTCCCTTAGGTCTAACAGGCTTCTTTAATTTGATATAACGGATTTAGTGCTGCTACTACTACCACTGATTGCTGATCATTATCATTATCATTGAATTGTTGATGATTTGTTGATTTAAGGAAAGCTGGCACAAGTCAGAGTTCAAAATCAACCTGACATCATTGGTGCCTGTGGATGATTTGGAAAAGAAGCTTGAGGAGGACCAATACGGACCAATACATTTTTGGTCAAGCTTGGGTCAAGAGTCAAGTGTGAAGAATTGAATCATTGTTACTTGTTGAAGTTATATATATGCCATTGCCATTGTCAAATCAAGTATAGTTATGATTCGTTGGTGCGTTACTGTGTTACTGTCATGATCAGTTCCCTTTTGGACCTACTTGTTTGGTCAAAGCAAAGGACCTCAAGCTGCAGAAGCAACGGGCTGACAGAACCGCAAGGAATGCTTTGCAGAAGCAGATCGAGGCCTACAAGCGTGAGAATTTTGGCGAAAAGCAGAAGGTTAGAAAAACCACAGCCAAGCCAAAAGCAGCAGCCGCATTGAAAGCCACTTGCGGCTTAGATTTGCCGGAGGACCCAGAATTGCGAGCCGAGGTCATCAAACAGGCCATTCAAGATTCCGAGAAAGTGGAAGAAATGATTGGCCAAATCGTGAATGCTTGCTCTTTGCCACAAAAGTTGAGCATTACCAGGTTGGACCAGTCTGGTCGTGGCAGCCGAGCCAAGCAAATGAAAGAACTACTTCGGCAGGCTGAGGAAGCCGTGAAGAGCGGAGGAAGCGGTGCTGGTGGCGGAAATCAACCTGAGCATGGAAACTGGTTGGATTCCTTTGGACTCAAAGGAACACTCAAGCACGCGGAAGAGTCAGGACATGTGTCGACAAAAGAACTTGATGGGTTTGCCTTGAATACTTATAGAATTATATACAGTACCAGTACCAACATATAAATAATACATACATACATAATACATTGACAGTTGATGATATTTATACTATAATTATATATATATATATTTATTGTATTATATAGATAGTGTTTTGTTTCAGGTTCCCGTGTCAAGAAATCTATCAGCCTTGACCCTAACTTCAACTCCACCATCATTGTTTTGTACCGCTATGCGGCGCTGAGCAGGAGCACGACCTGCAAAAGCCGCAAAGGTCAAGGAGCAGAAGAACCAGGACAAAGTGGATCTGATGAAGATGGCCAAGCACCTTCTGAGATAAGCAGACAGTGGTTTGCGAATTTTGCTTTTAGCCTTCACTGTCACTGTCTGAACAGTGCATCGGCAAAGTACAGTGCGGCCAGGAGAGTCTAGTCTAGCAATGTTTTGGTGGCTACAATTCGATGTTGACTGATTGTCACTGTTTGACTGTTTGTTTGCTCAACCAACAGCTCTGCCAGCTGGCTGCCAATTCAGACTCTCCTCAATCCTCAGACTTGCTCACCAGACACAGCAAGCTCTCCCACACACAAACAACATGACCTCATGCTGGCACAGGCCCGTCGCAAGATCAGGCCATGAATTTCATGAATAAATATGTAATGCACGAGAGTTCTAGCCTTCTAGTTTGTTGTTGTCATTGTTTCTATATATTAGTGTATATACAGTATATACTGTCCATTTGTCATTTGTCTTGTCATTGTCATTTGTCCATTTGCATGGCCTGGTGGAGGAGCAATGTGGAATGCAAAGGTGAGGTTGCGGTTGAGTTCGGGCAGAGACCGAGACCAAACCTCTGGAATCTGCAGTTTCCCTCCTCAACAATCCTCTAGGCGACTAGCATAGCATTGGGGCATGTGCATTGTGCAGTGAATTGTGCAGTGTTCAGGCATCCTTGCTTGTGTTAAGTGTTGAACAGCTAGGGCTACCAACCAAAAGTTGTTGTTTCCCTACTGCTACTGACTCCACTTATGTATCACTGTATCACAATATCACTGTCTGTATTTACCAGCCCCAACCAACAGTCTACTGCACAGGCACGGTGCGCAAGCCCCTAGACTCTCTCAGTCTCTCAGCCACTAGGGCTGAGGTGCCAGACAGTGGTTGCTTCACAACACTAGAAGCCATGAGCAGAGACAACAACAGATTGAAACGTATTGTTTTTTTCCAGAGACAGCGGATAAAAAACATCAGCATTGTTTCATCATGGAATCATGTCGATTAATTTCATGCCAATGGACATGGTCCCAAAGACAGTCTAGCTGAATCCGATGGTATTATCTTAGTATCTTGGTTCTGTTTTTGTGCTCTGAACGTGGCGCCGGAAGTGATGTGACAAAAACAATGAAGCAACATTTCAGTGAACAAATTATCAAAAAACTAGTCTAGTCTAGCTGCGTCATCCTAGTTTCCATAGTTCATATTATTCCAGTTGAAGTCCATTGGTTTATACTGCTTATACGTATACTGTGGGTTTTTTGTCATGTCAAACAGGACAGTCCGGCTGATAAACAGCATGAAAGCGCACGACGTATGAAAACAAGGACACACTGAACGGATGCAGATGATGAAAAAAACAAGGCCAGTGGAGGAAGTGCCGAGCGCTGTGATGGTTTTCACTACGCCACCAACACCACTCAACCTTCAATACCCTTATGCTTTGCACCGCTTTACGCCGATAGCCTATTCCCATCTAGATGTACTACGTAGATGGAGATCTAGGCATTTGTATGTGGTGGCAGTTGTGAGGCTTGACTCCTTTAGCGTCAGACTCCTTTAGGCCCCTAGACCCTTAAACCATGATCCTGATCACCGATGCTGAGGCCGATCCGCCAGTCAGGCTACTCTATGGCCATGGCCCTTGCGGGCCCTTACGGCCTGGGAATTAAAGTTTTTTGAGGTCCAATCGGCCATAGGCCTTTGGATTTCTAGGCCTTTGATCACTGAGCCACTGAACCAGTGGGCCAACTCGTCCTATGGCAAACAAAACAAGTCTTTGTTGGTTTGGGCGTCCGGGTCGGGAGGGATGGGTCTACAATACTGTCTGAAGCCAAGGTTCAAGAAAGCCCCGGCCCAACAGAAGAGTGATTGGTGGCCGTTTGTGGGTGTGGCACAGTTCTTCCTCCGAACTTGCCAGGAAGGTGTTTTTTGGGTTCCCCGTGTGCATGGATGTATCAAATCACGTTTTTTTCTTTCCTCGATTCCACCCACACACCAACCCACTGGCTTCAGTCTACAGCTGAAACCGTCAGTTACGAGGTTTTGTTTGGACAAGCAACGCAACAAGGACCAGCCAAGCAACCATCCAACATCGGCTGTGCATGCCAGCAACGCCTTGATCTCCAAGAAGACGTCCCCGAGCTTATCTTTGCAATCATTCTCCATCAGATCGCTCTTCACAAGGATGATGAAAATGCGCTGCCTTGAAACTGGACTGCCATGATCACGCCTCAGATCTTGCCATGATTGACTGGATGTTTTTTTTCTCAGGTCGCCAGTCTGCGCAATCATTGCAAAACCCAACCAACAAGTGTTCTGTCAAGGCAACGGATCGATGATATCTGTTGCAATCTCATACCTCAGATGGTCACACCGTGAGATGAACAGCCAGTGCAAAGACAACCAGCCAGTGACACAAATCAGCCAAAGGACTCAGGGCAGCTTGCTTGGATCCTTGCAAGTACATCGTCCATCACCGCCTTGAACCCAAGGACATGTTCCAATATTGCTGCCTTGGATGCAGCAAAATGACGCAAAATGAAAGCCCACACCCACATGACACCAAGTCACACAAACTTCATGGCTGCTTGCATTCAAAGCCGCCACTGGCTTCCCTGAAGCTATGTTGGAAACCACCTTCAAAAACTGCTTCATGTTCGGGTCACGCCAAAAATCTCTGCTGGCATGCAGCTTGCTGTAGGGAGTACACGGGAATCCAGCACAGTAGAGCATGATCTTGCCGTGTACCTTGACCATGCTGCTGTTGAAGACATCGTCGAAGCTCCTCAAAGAACACAATTGTATCAAAATTGGAGGGAACTGCTTCAATCTTCCTGGAACCAAAATTGAAAGGACATTCAAGCCAAACATCTGCTGTGGCTTTGGCAGGTTTTGCTCCAGAAATCGCTGCGCTGCACTATCTCGCTCACTATTGTGCCTCAGGGTTTCCAGGCATGTGCCCATGGTATCGATAACATCATAAAGCAACTAGCACGTAGCACTAGCATGTTTGCAGGCCAACGTACATATATCGAGCCAAAACACATATATGCCATGGGCACATGCTTCTTGCAATTCTTCAGCAGGAGCTGCAATGCAAACCATGGCGTGTCCATGCCACTGCCTGTTGTTGTTTCCCAAGTGAGCAAATCAAACATGATCAAAACACTGTTCAAGTTTTATGGCAAGGCGCAATCAGATGCATAAGTAAACGCCGTCAGGTCAAGATTCCACAAATCAAAGAATCGATTGCATCCTAAGCAAGGATTGCAGGCAGAAGTGACAAGTCACTCATGATGCAAAGGGCAAGGTTCATGCCAAGGAACGGCCTTTCCTGAAGAACTCCGTGCCACAGTCCAAATATGAAAGCTGCTC